CTTAATGTTTGATTAGTAATATGCATTGCTAAGAACTTCATTTGGACAACTTTAAAGGCGATTTTCTCAATATTTTAATTTTTTTTGCATAAAAAATTACTGGTTTTGTGGTCCAGGGTCACACTTTTGAACACTCTTGCTGGTATTAAGATTTGTTGTGTGTGTAAATCAATACACTGAGCTGGTATAAGACTCGATCTCGAGCTCTGTGTCTGAAGACAGAGGCGAGAGTGAAACTAGCCGAGCGATCTCGTGTCGTACCTCTCTGTCCCGCCGGTCACTTCCTGTCTGTGTTTTGGCGGGATTCTTCAGCTGCTGCTCCAGGTTGTGAATCTCCTGCTGAAAGACGTCTCGCTCGTGCTCGCGGTCCACCGCCTGCTCCTGATGGACAGAGGGACAGAAACACTCGGACGATTAGCACGCTGCCACACTAAACCAGATAAAAACATCTGCGAAGCTTCATCAGTTCAATACAATACTGTTGTCTGCTGTGCAGTTAATGAACGTGGAAGTGATGAGATGAATCGCTTTTTGCTTTTATCACATCATTATGGAAGCTTATTTCTGCGATGGAATAAAAAAATTTAAATTAAAAAGGCAATTTTGACTTCTCACAACTCTGACTTTCCCCCCGCAATTCTGAGTTTATATTTCACAATTCAGACTGAGAAAAGAAGTCAAAATTGCAAGATATAAACTCAGAATTATAAGAAAAAAGTTAGAATTGCAAGAAAAAAGTCAGAATTGCAAAAAAAAAAAAAAGTCAAAATTACGAGAAAAAGTCAAAACTTTGAGAAAAAACTGAATTACGAGAATAAAGTCTGAATTGCGGGGAAAAAGTCAGAATTACGAGAAAACTCAGAATTGCGCAACAAACTCAGAATTGCGAGAAAAAAGAAAAAATTATGAGAAAAAACAGAATTGCGAGAAAAAGTCTGAATTGCGGGAAAAAAGTCAGAATTACGAGAAAACTCAGAATTGCGCAACAAACTCAGAATTGTGAGAAAAAATAAAAAATTATGAGAAAAAACAGAATTGCGAGAAAAAGTCTGAATTGCGGGAAAAAAGTCAGAATTACGAGAAAACTCAGAATTGCAATAAATATTCAATTGCAAGATATAAACTCAGATTACAGAGAAAAAAAGCCAGAATTGCAAAAAAAGTCAGAATTACAAGAAAAAAGAAAAAATTATGAGAAAAAACAGAATTGCGAGAAAAAGTCTGAATTGTGGGGAAAAAAAGTCAGAATTTTGAGAAAATTAAGAATTGTGCGACAAACTCAGAATTGCGAGAAAAAACAGAATTGCAAGAAATATTCAATTGTGAGATATAAACTCAGGATTATAAGAAAAAAAGTTAAAATTGCAAGAAAAAAGTCAGGATCGCAAGATAGAAACTCTAAATTGCAAAATATAATCTCAGAATTGCGAGAAAAAAAGTCAGAATTACGAGAAAGTTCAGAATTACGCAACAAACTCAGAATTGCGAGAAAAAACAGAATTGTAATAAATATTCAATTGCAAGATATAAACTCAGATTACAGAGAAAAAAAGTCAGAATTGCAAGAGAAAAGTAAAAATATGATTAAAAGGTTAGAACTTTGAGAAAAAACAGAATTGCGAGAAAAAGGTCTGAACTGCTGGAAAAAGTCAGAATTGCGAGAAAAAAGTTAAAATTATGAGAAAAAGTCAGAACTTTGAGAAAAAACAGAATTGCGAGAAAAAGGTCTGAATTGCTGGAAAAAGTCAGAATTGCGAGAAAAAAGTTAAAATTATGATAAAAAGTCAGAACTTTGAGAAAAAACAGAATTGCGAGAAAAAAGTACGAATTGCAAGAAATATTCAATTGCGATATATAAACTCAGATTACAGAGAAAAAAGTCAGAATAGCAACAAATGACAGAGAAAAAAAAGTGAGAATTGCGAGAAATAAAGGGTCACGTTGAAGAAGCATGCTGAAGTGACTCACGTCCATGAACTTGCGGTTCTTCTCCAGCTGCTTCTCTAAGGCCTGTATCTGCTGCCGCAGGTCTGCCGTCTCGGCGCTGTGCGTCTCCTGCAGCTCCTGCAGACGGCTCACCTGCTCCTCCAGCTCCGCCTCCAGCTGCTTCACCTGCTGCAGCAGCTCGCCGCTCTCCTTCTGCGCCTGACGCTGCACCTCCACCTTCTCCGCCATCAGCTTCTCCGTCTCCTCCAGCAGGTCTGAGGACAGCCAGACGCTCGTTAGCAGAGCCACGCAGGACTGACTCGTTTGACGGATGACAAAACGTGGAGCAGCTTCAGAGACTCGTTCACAGCTTTGAATTCAATGTCAAAGTCTCAAAAGCAATTAATGCCTTTAAGATCGACTTTAAAGAAAGATGATGTTCTCAGCACATAATAACTTAATTTATAGGAAGCAAACTGCTTGGTAAAAAGGAATCTCATGAAATTTGTTAACAACATGTTCGGATCATATTTAACCACAAAATCAAAAGAAACATTTTGACAGAACTGAATTTTTTTTTTAAGGAAAAAAACTATTAAACTATTAAAAGCTGTTTTCGCTAATTGAAAAAAAAAAAAGCTGAAATAAAATCTAAATATTGGATGACAAACTTAAACTTCAATGTTAATTATAAATGTTGCTAACTGAAATAAGCTGAAGTACTAAAATTACTAAAACAAAAAAATTGTCATTTAATAGAAACATTTGAAAAAGTGACCTATTAAAAATTAAACTAAAATTAAAATGAAAAATATAAAAACAAAAGCTAGAAAATTTGCCTTATCTTGTTATTGTTAACTAAAACTATTAAAAGTTGTTTTATTAAAATAAAATATAAATATTAGATGGAAAATCTTTAACTTAAAAAAACTTAACGTAAAAACAAACTCTGAACTAAAATAAGTTTAAGTAGAAAAATACAAAAAATAGTAAAACTACAACTGAAATAAAAATAAATGATTAAATATTTATCATTACAATTTTTAACATTAACACACAATGTTATGAACTTGTGTATTTATGAATATTATCTTTTTATTTTAAAAATAAATTAAAGCTAAAAACTAACAAAAATAAGCATACATAAACTATTATGAAAACATAAAATGTAAAAAATATTTTTAAAAAAAGCTAATTCAAAATATGAATAAATACTACAATAGAATAAATATATTACTAGAACTACACTGCTTAATTGTTGTAAAAATAACAATAAAAAAATTAAAACCAAACTAAAACCAGGTTTAAATTTTCTTAATTTAATAAAAAAATTTAATGTTCTTAATTTTCAGCTAAATATAACTTCTTGTTTTGTTCTTTTGATTCTGTGATGATCGTGACATGTTTTTGTATGCGTTCTCTGCGGTTCTCCACTTTTGTCTCCGGCTGCATACGGCACATCGGCGGGACAGATTTCCCATTTCCCACAATCCTTCCCATTCCTGTACGATCCATGATCACATGATCCCGTCAGCACCCACCGAACCAACCCACAGTGCAGGAGAGAACGAGGGGCGGAGCCAGTGATGTCACGGGAGGGGAGGGGTTAAAGTGCAAATGCGAAAAGAAAGGAAAGGAAAAGGAAAAAGAAACCTGTGCTTTATTGAACAGCCATCAGCTGAGGACAAATCACAGTCTAACACAGACACAGTTCACACTGGTTTAGTTTCATTTAATGAGGTAAATCACGCTCAATAAGGAATTGGCACATTTAAAATCCTCACTGAAAATTATTAAATATTTATCATTACAATTTTTAGCATTAACACACAATGTGTTTTGAATTTGTGTATTTATGAATATTGTTATTATCTTTTTATGTCGATATGTCTCTGTATAGCAAACTCTGAGCTTAAGAAAGTACTTTTTAAATATAATTATTATTTATTATTATTATTGTCACTGTTATTTTATTATAAATATTTTATTTTCAATATACTACTATGATTTTGAATTTCATTTTTATATTTTGTTTCCAATTTCATTTTAGTTGAAGTTGTGTGTTTTGCCATTTTCATTATTATTGTTAGTCTATATAGATTTACTAATTATATTTATTAATTTTAGTTTATTTAGTTTTTTTTGTTTTGTTATTTTATTACTTCAAAAATGAGAAATCAAAACAAGTTTTTTTTCATATTTAATTTTATTTCAGTTAATGTTTATTTTATTAAACTAAAGAAAAATGAGAAATGTTGCCATAGAACTAGATGAAAAGTTTATTTTTTAAATATTTGATTTCAGTCAATATTTATTATATTTTATTAAATTAAACAACGATCAGAAATGTTACTTTGGCAACTAAATAAAATTAATAAAATTTAATAAAATTAAGTTTATTTTTTATATTTTATTTAAGTTATTTTATTTTATTTTATAAAATTTTATTTGAAATATTAACAATAAAATTATTATATATTCATTATATAGTAGTACATCACTAATAATAAAATAAACTGTAAACAATAACAATATTAATAAGTAATACAGTTTTCCCTTAGAGCTAAATGAAACAAGTTTATTTTTTAAATATTTTATTTCAGTCAATATTTATTTTATTTTATTAAACTAAACAAAGATCAGAAATGTTACTTTGGCAACTAAATAAATTAAAATTAAACTGTAAACATTAACAATATTAATAAGTAATCATGTTTTTATGTTTTAGTTAACTATCATAACCCTGATTATTGTTTATTATTATATATTAGTACAAGTATTATATTTTATTATTATTATTATTATTATTATTCCAGGTGAAACGCCACAGTCCTGAAGCACAATCCAGCACATTAGATGTTATGGGTTGATGTGGAGATGGCTGTTCAATAGCTGCCAGCCGCGGTTAACCCATGCTAGCGCAGATATCGAGTGATGTGATGTTAATGAGCTCAAGCAGACGAGGCAACGGTTAGTCCATCAGTGGAGCCAAAAGCAAGCAAAGCTCCAAGCTGCTGTTAAGTGTTCATTGATCAGTGCGTGCTGTCAATCAATCAATCAATCAATCAATCAATCAATCAGAGACAGTGATACACAGCGTGCTGGCCATGCCACTCGTGAACACACACACCCTGCTTCAGGTGCTGCGTCAAGAGCAGCCTCAACTAGTCCTGAGGAAAGAGAGAGTGAAAACAACACATTCATCATGCAAATACAGGAGGAAAGAAGGCAGAAACAAGTGACGCATGAAGACGGACACGATCTGCATCTGCACACGCGTGTGTGAGTGAGTGAGTGAGTGAGTGAGTGAGTGTGTGTGTGTGAGTGCG